TATACACTATATGTATATGGATATGTATATATATATATTATATTATATGTATGTATATATATATATGTATGTGTGTGTGTGTGTGTGTGTGTGTACACGTGTGTGTATGTGTATGTGTATGTGTATATATATATATATGTGTGTGTGTGTTTATATGTGTATGAAATGCTACACATACTTATTTATATAGAAGTGTGTAGATAATATCTTTGTGTATACTCTAATGAATAAGTTACACTATAGATATTCCTTATTTACATACATATGATTATATGAATGTGTTCTTATGACAGCAAGGTGTACAATGACATTTATATACGGGACGTGGCTTATCCATAACTTCATCAGTCCTACGTATGAGATATTTATTATTCAAATAGCGAGACTGTGAGTCTGTGAGACTGTTATAGCAGTAGGGGGTCTCATTTATCATCATTATCACTTCAAAGTGCAGTACTCTCTCTCTCTCAGAAAAAGATTACAGATATTATGTTTTCTAAAAAGAAAAGAAAAAGCCTTGCGGCACGTGTATTACATACATACTGTAAATATATACATATATTTTTTAATATGTATATATCGCTTGAGCAATGATCTTAGTAAAAATACCCAAAATTCTGATGTCCATCTCATTACATATATATATTGATTCATGCCTGTGAAAGTGTAATCTTTAGTACAATCCCTACTAGATTCTTTCACACATAAAATGGTTGTAGTGACATCGACTACGTGGTCGAAAGATGAGAAGAAGAATGATCCGGCAGTGTCTGTAGACGAGGTCGCAATCTCACAGTTATTAGACAAGCGCACAGCGGCGAAATTAAACAAGAAATACGACGAAGCCGATGCGTTTGCCAAGGAACTCCAAGGAATGAACGTCCGTTACAGCGACGATACAAAGATGTGGTATGCCACAGGGGGTACTAAAAACCCTGCTCAGACAAGCCCTGTGAAAGTAGTGGCCACAAAGAATGGAAAGGGTTTACGGCCTATGAATGCTTACGAGTTGAAGATGAAGGAGAGACAGAGACGGCAAAGCAAGAAGAATGCGAAGAAGCAGAAGATGATAAAGGCGAGTAAGATATCTAAGATCACCAAGTTCGATGACTTCAAGTCAGATCCGTGATGTTTATTGTAGTGGGAAATATATTGGGGTTAAAAATAATGTATGAGCACTTTTCGCGGTGTTGCTGCGCTGACGACTGACAGTGGCTTCTGTGTGTAGAAAATATTTTTCCAAGGTATGCATACAGCGAGGCGACATCAAAACATATTTGCGCTTCCATTGATTGTTGCAAATGTATACAAGGTCAGATATAAATGCGATACTCAGCCGAGACGGCCATTTTCAGGACAAGAGCAGGCAAATGGAGGTTGTCTTTGTCTGGGTAAAAAAATTGACTGGCTCCCAAAGTACCTTGAATTCTATCTTGCAGAAATCCATTTTGGTACGTGTACGGGAATACGTATGAATATATATATATATATACTTATATATTTATATATTTATATATACGTGTGCAAACAAGTCGATATATGTAACTTCACAAGAATATGCATGTATACATTTGTACATAGGAATAAGTATCATCTATATGTGTGGATGTAACATTCTTGACTATTTAGTGGTCTAGACTAGGCTTCAATGTAAGGGATTGAATTAGTACACACTTCACATATCAAGTTATCCCGACACGATTTCAAAACACTACACAACCGGTGCATCTAAATTTTGAACTGATAATAAATTTTAATTTAACCATAAATAACCATTCGTGCACTTATTTACTTCTTATCACAACATACGCATATACATTTA